CCCTTTTATTTTCCTCTATTCTTGTTCTCAATCTCCAAACAATTTCACACAATTGTTTGTTAGTCCTAGAGTTCTTCAAAAAATATTCTCTTCTCTTGATAAATTTGTAATCAACATAAGCCCACCAAGCCCTAAAGCTTAGTCACCAAGACTCATAAATCACCAAAAGGAGAGTTCAAAAAGGAAAAGTTCCCTGCTATTCCCGGCTTCTGCTCACTTCATCTGTTTAGCTTCCACATAAGTTCAAAGAGTTCCACTGTTTAAAAAGTCACAATATTTCACTCTCTGTCTCAGGTATCCAGTATAAACAATTTTCTGGTGCAGGTGTTGTTTATAACAGCCAAGCTTATTGTCAGGCCTGCAGCCATCTTTTCTTTTGGATCTTTGGCCTGCCACACTTTCTATTATTCTATGCATTTCCTACTGTGGAAAAATGGGAGGAGGGATTGTAAGGAGTGAGATGCTATGTAGCCATAACAAAATTCTTTCTAGAAAGCCAAGGTCATCCTTTGTCTTTGCACCTCTGCACCTAACTGGAACTGGATGGGTGGAACTGCCAGCATGGCACTGGAAGAATGGACCTTGTGATGGACTTGTGGGTGTGAGGGCAAGTTCTTGAACTTTCAACTAGGTGGGGAAAACCGGGAAGCTTTCAAATTCAGGTTTTCCCAGATGTGCCAACATGGCTCTCTTAATAAATTGGAACTTTGAGCAATACTTTGCCTTGGACTCTAATTTACTTTTGGATGCTATTTGGAACCCTGAGACTTAGCACACTTTCAAGGTCATATTTTTTCTCCTTTTCACTTCTCTGTGTTTTTCTCCACCAGTACATGTCGCTGCTGCTCTATTTCTCTCCCTTTTTTCTCTCTCTATTTTATACTATCAAAGTCCAAGCTTTTTTCCCAAAAAAGTTCTCTGGGTCAAAATTCCATAATCCAGAAAGTTTTCAACTCAGTCAATATTGTAGTTATGATCCCCAGTCCCAACTTCCTAGCTTCAAATTTCTTCTTAAAAGTTCTCTTTTCTCCATTTCCAGTTCTATAGATAGCTCTCTGGCTTGCTTGCCGCTTTTCTTGAGTGGTGGAAAACAAACATTTCCACCTCGTCTTCTTTGAGTCCCACTTTCTCCCAGGCTTACTTTAAAGGGACAAGTTCCACAACAGGAGTTGGAAAAATCTCACCCAGATCGATCTCACTGTTCCTCAGATTCTATGCTTGCTTAATCGGTTGGCTGTCACAGCTTTGGTCAGGCACTCAATGGCTGTCTTTTTCTTCCCACTGGATTGAGAGTTTACTCCTGATCAACCAAGGAGGTTGCGGTCTCCTTGTGATCCATGGAGTGTCCTCTCTATCTTCATCACCCCTCCAAGGTGATTTGGGTCCCTCGGAACCTTCTGGCAAGCAAAAAGTCTATGAGGGGTTTCCAGACACTAACAAATGTGGTTATTGTTCTTTCTCTTATCAGACAAATAACTTTTGCCATCTCTGCTAATTTTGTCATCTTCACCAGCCATTCACCATTGTAGGTATTTCAGAGTCTTTTCATTTTTCTGCATATAATAGTCTCACAACAGTTATCATCTACAAAAAAATTTCATAACTCTTTTCTAATTGTCTATCCATTAGTCCCAGCAAGAAGAGTTATTGTTTCAATTAATATTAATCTTTAAAATTCTAACTCTATGTTTTAGAACTTAAAATTTTCTGGTTTTTTACAAGTCCACCAGGCATGATAAAACGACCTTTCATGTCTTCCACATTTCCAACACAGGTTTGAATTACCTTTATACATTCTGGATATTTTTTCTGGAGTCATGTACCAGCAGTACATCATTTTATAAAAACTACCTTGACAGGACAACTGTCAAAATGGTGGAAAGAAAGGTACTATTAGGTAAGCACAATGAACACAAGAGTAACTTTTTGCCCCAAATTTCAAATTAAAGTACATTCATTTTTTTTCTACTGTAAATCTTTCAATTATTGTTGGGGTCTGGGATTGTGAAGAATTCAGTTGCTGTCCAACAGTGGTGCAACCCGGTTGCAACGGGTTCTGGATCCCGTTGCAACCGGTATGGTGCAACAGGGCCGGGCGCCGACCACGTCCATGTGCGTGCAGGCGTACCTACCACCTGCGATGCTCCAGCTGCTCAGTGGAGCATTGCGCAGGCGCCGTACGCTCCATGCATGTGTGCAAATGCCCCGATTGGCTCAAATAGCAGTAAGGAGAGCAGGCGGGCGGGTGGGCCCTCCAGAGCACCATACCAGAACGGTACTTGGTACTCCCAGCAGGCACCAGTATGCCCATACTGGGGCGTACCGGTTGTACCCCACCACTGCTGTCCAACATTGATCTGTACATTGCATCAGAAATGGGTTTTCTAATACTCTGGCAAATAGTATTTTTTTTATTATTGGTGTGTACCCATATGAATGAATTCATTGATGTCTATAGATAAAAGCAAGCATCAGAATGTAAGTGAATGGAGAAAAAGATAAATCTCTGTTCTTCTTTGCTTCATTGGCCAGAGTAGTTGAGAATTGATGGGAAACTGTTAATCAAGGTCTTTGCTGTTCCCCAGTGTGACTTCTATGGTAAACAGAATTTCCAAGCCCATTGGCAGTTTCATTTCTGCCATTGGGATACGTGATGAAGTAGGACTTGCCCAGTCTCAGCACCCCATCCTAAAGGTGGAGAATCAGAGCAGAATATTGTGTGACTTATAGCAGCCTCCCCCAAACTGGGCCTCCAGAAGAGTAGTAGAGAAGAGTACTCTACCAGGAAATTTGAGGGGTCATATAAAAAGGAAAACAAGAAGATATTTCCTGTGACCTTGACTTCTGACAAAATGGTTTTCTGGGTGCTTGTAGAAGAAGGGATTAACCGGATTGCGCCTTTACGGCCGATCCGCAGCAGTGGATCCAGGAGGGCCCCTTGGTTTACCGAGGAACTCCGGGAGATGAAGCGCCGAAAGAGACGCCTAGAGCAACGATGGAGATCCAGTAAGTCCGAGTCAGACCGAGCGCTTTTAACATCCAGCATCAGAGCTTACCTCCGAGCAATTAGGACGACTAAAATAACACACATTGCCTCTCTGATTGCTTCTGCTGAGTCGCGCCCAGCCACCTTGTTCAGGATAACCCGTTCCCTCCTAAATAGGAGGGATACGAGCGATCCTTTGCAAGGCAGAGCTGAGGATTATGTCCAATTCCTCGCAGATAAAGTTGCTCGGCTTCGGACGGTCCTGGACTGAAAATTGCGCAGAAGCAGCTGAGGCACCAA